AGTAATCCGCTCGACTTGGCCAGGGAGTGGTGCTTTGAAGCCGGGTAGAATCCGCGCTGCCATGCAGGGGTGGCAACTGCATTTGCGTACAGCAGGACGAGTTATTGCAATGTTTTCCCAAGGATTTCACACTGATTAGCATTTGGACACTCGATTAGTCTTGCTGTATCCGCCATTGCCGTAACTGTAGCTGTCTTTAGTCGATAGTCGATTAAGACAGCTATTTTCCTCGCGTTGTTGATAACCTTCATCTCCCAGGCACACGCCAACACAGAAATTCGCCATACCTGCCTGGTAATACAGATTAGCGCATACACAAAGCAAAGGTTGACAAAGACGATTTGAAATATTTTAAGATTGGCTCCAAAATGCTCTCTTTTCAGGTGTTCCCTGGCCTTATCCGATGGCGAGGGGATATGGTGCTTAACAATGAAGTCAACGGTAAAACTGCTTTAACCTGCGACTGCTGTGGGTCGGGTGGGGGGTGACAATATTAAGTAGCCCTCTTGGTATCTAGAATACTTTTGTACCCTTCGATGCAGGTTTACTAAATCTTAAGCATTGCTATATTATATATTAACTATTACTAGACATATTATAATTTTGATGTTTTATGTAAAAGCAAAAGCAAAACAGAATCAATATTCTGGGATATTATTAAGTATGATTAAGTATATTATCATTTTGGTGCTTTATGTAAAAATGAAAGGCAAAACAAAATTGATGTTTTGGAAAAAAACGTTACGGAGACATTGCAGGTTAAGCAACAGGGTTATTACGTCATAAGTGATGGGCTACAATGCTGCTTTTGCTTCTACGCACCAAAGCTAGCGCTCTCATTTCTAGCTTTAGATCGTTTTGGTGTAATCCGCCCACCGGTTCGACCGCCTGGCTTCCAATGTCCAGCATGCTATACGGAACCACACCACGACACCAAAAGAGACGGGTATGGTCAGGCTATACATGTCAGACCGAAAGGATTCGTGCCACCCATCTATGATTCGCATCAGCCAGTAGGGCTAACATACTTCTCAGCCAATCACTTCCATGCGAAGTGCACGGATGTCCATGATTAGTTCGGTCAGAAGTTAGAATCTACCACCCAAAGTCCCTCAAACTTTCACTTTTCAACGCTGTCTCCTCCTTTATCGGGACAATGTGTACCATCACCCCAAACAGCTTTGAAAGCTCATGACACAACACGCGCATTGCACTACTGACCGAGCTTCAGTGGCTGGGAATCGATTCAAGACATTTATGGAATAATCTTAATGGACGGTGACGCGTGGTTAGAAGTGATTCAGCATCACTTTCCTCGCCCCACGGTATCCCCAGGAGTCTCGGGCTAACCTAATCATCTACCGAATCTTTACGGACGACCTGATGGGTGCCTGCTTTTCTCATTCCTACACCGTTGATAGCCGGCTTCTCGACTCGGTCTACTCGGACCACCTGTCAACCATAAACTCTCGACAGGAGGAAAACAACCTTGCCTTCTCATCTAACTTCACTACCGATTCTCCAAAGACGAACTCTATCAAAACTACCCTTCTTCTAATCGCCACACCCTAGCCCATTATTATATCTCGTCTCTTCAACATATAGGGAGTGTTCCACACATACATGGGGTTTTGAATTGAAATAGCCATCTTGAAGGCCTTTTTGTGCTGTTTGCAATCCTGCCGTTCTTGAGCCCTCCAGATTCTGGGCTACACGCCCGTAAAAATTGGAAAGGTATACCGGGGGAGTACTTCAAAGTCACCTTGGCATTCATGACGCCATAATGACGTCATTCAAGTGCTGCCATTCCATAAGCCATGCAGCGATCAAGGCGAAGAAAAATGTATTTTTCAAGGCGCTCATATCCGGCGTTCGTGAACACGAATTCCAGATATAATGGCCGCCAATTCGCTCATAATGCAACGCAAGGTACCATGACATAATCAAACCGCCCCGCATTGAGGATCATGAATACTAAACAGAGAATAGTACAGTCTAGAGTGGTCTTTCCCACTCCAAAAGTATATAAATACTTATAAGTGAGCTTGTTTTGTTACATCTCATGCTTGCCTCAGCATCTCCAAATGTGAAACATTCGCTTTAAAGTCACCAACATTATATTGACCTAATAACCGTCCGTGAGAACTCATGGAGTCACCATCGACCGTACGCTATTTGGGAAAGCACACACATCCAGCTTAGTCCAAAAGTGGAATTTCAGCCTGCATGTAAGATTCGTCACCATCTCACGCCCGAGAGCAGTCGAAACCAGCAAACTACTTATTCGGACCCAGGTTTCCCTGAGATAGTGTACTGGCGCTCAGTCTGGGACGGGGCGTCGCGTGCTTTCTCAGACGCGTGCAAAAGGTTGTGAATTTCGCGACCAGGGTCGTCCCCGGGGCGGGAGTTCGAGATCACCTATCTCCTGGTCCTGGAGTCACTGGGCTGGCACAGCATGACTAGCTTTGTTACGCGCCGGGACCACATTGGCGTCCTCAGCACCCCAAATGACGCCCGCACCCGTAGGCGGTCCGGTCGTTGTTCACCCCCCTCGCCAAGTTTAGAAGTGAGCGCGTCATGAGGTCGGTGGTGGCTGTTGCTCTAGAGCGGCACGTTTTCCAGCTGTCGACGTCGCCCAAGATGTTTTCGTATCAAGCGCCCTCGTCCGGAAACCATTGCAGCTTCTCGGAGCCGTGCTGTGTTGCTACCTAGTCTTGACTATAAACATTTGTCACGTTCATGTGACAAACCAGGATTGTATTTGACATGAATAAATTATTAAGCCATGCATGTAGAACGATTCGTAATAAATCCACGCTGATGATTATTGAGGTTGAGAAGCTCATTCGGGGTAAGTTCTGCCACTTGTTAGTTAGAGTTAGCGCGTTCCACACTGAGTATCTTTTATGTTTGCGAATATCCAGACGAGTGATCGATGGTGCATGACGCGGGTAATAAGCAGGGCCTGTGATAGTTCCTGTGTCTTGTTTCAGCAGCAAATCCGCTGCGATCCTGGATCTTTGTCCAATGGTCGTAACAAAAAATTGTCTCAGTTGGAACAAAAAATCGACGTCAACCAATCTGGAATGTTTATATATGTATATATATACATATATATACATATTTACATATGTATACATATATATATGTATATATACATGTATAGATATATATATATATATATATAATATATATATATATATATATACATATGTGTGTGTGTGTGTGTGCATGTGTGTATGTGTGTGTGTGCGTGTGTGTGTGTGTGTGTGTGTGTGTGTGTGTGTGTGTGTGTGTGTGTGTGTGTGTGTGTGTGTGTGTGTGTGTGTGTGTGTGTGTGTGTGCGTGTGTATGTGTATGTGGTAACACCACCAAGATTTCCGAAAATTCCATACACACTCTGTTCATCTGGTTGGCATAGGTGGCACTCCGTGCCCGGTAGAAAACCGATGTGCTTCCTCGCTTTTACTCCTTCGATTGGCGTCAGTATTTCGCAGTAGGATCTTGTCTAGCGTAATACCTGGACGACAAAAATTTATGGATCCGCAAGATGTAGTTTCTTTCAATAATGGCTGACGCGCATCGATGCAGGCCTGTTTTACGGTTAATGAAGCATCCACGGATCCCCCACCTGCCACGGACCTTTGACATGATCTCTCCAATACTCTTACGATGAATGGCTTTTCGTTAGAACCAAAGGTGAGCATAAATATCAGGGGTGGTTCTTAACCGTTCCTCTTCGGCGAGTTACTTCACTCAAACGCATGGGTCTTGGACTTTCGGGGCAATTGGCAGCCGACTGGTATTTGTGTCCATCCCGCCACCTTTTAATAACTTTATCACCTTTAACAGAGTGCTATAGGATAATGACCCATCTGGGCACTACATGTAACCAACTGCAGCGTCGGGCGTCTTACCACCCTTCGCACTCGAAAACTACGCGACGGCGCGCTGTCGGTGCGCCGTAGGTTCTCCCGTCTTGCTGTAGTTGGACACACTCCCGTTCCGATGCGCCGCATGCCGATGCCCAACGGCCAAAATGATACCAAATTTTAGAACCAGGCAACTTATGAATTACACTAATATACTCGTGGGCCAATGAAGTGCACGTCCATGATGCGCTCACCAAAGTGATAAACGGAACGAATAGCAGGATTCATCGGCAAAATTATTGCTGTCCATGAGCGGCAAGTATAAATTTGCACTAGACTCTGTTAGTGGCGTGAACCAAAATGGCAAACAATTGCAAGGGATTTTGCCATCTAGGCATTACCTGACCTTAACTCACAATTTTTGTTGCGGTCGTGGTATAATTATGAAGGGCGAATCCCAATCTCACTGACGTGACTGAGAAATGTATATTTACCGTGGGAACGGACGCCGGAGGTGCTCAGTTCTTTAGAAATTTGGATGATCGTTGAGGTATTTCGTGCAATCTGTGATGTCATGGGTCACGTGACAGATGCCATCGTAACCATTTCCAGGGGAGGTTGGACGACGGTTCGTGACTAGGCCATCTATTGCCGCCTAAATTGTTCTGATCCGACGATGAGCTCTTGAGACAGCGGAGCGAGTGTCAATAACCCCGCGATTGGTGCGAATGACTCTTGAGACAGCGGAGCGCGTGTGATTAACCCCGCGATTGGTGCAAATGGCTATTGAGACAGCGGAGCGGGTGTCAATAACCCCGCGATTGGTGCGAATGGCTCTTGAGACAGCGGAGGGCATGTGATTAACCCCGCGATTGGTGCAAATGGCTATTGAGACAGCGGAGCGGGTGTCAATAACCCCGCGGTTGGTGCAAATGGAGAACTGCTGAGGACAGTGACGGGTTTATTTCACACGGGGATGGACTGTATTGCATGAGCGCATGTAAGTACATGTATATAACATGTAGTATACGGGCAAGTGGCTCTTTGGCCGCTAGTTCCTATAACGTCGGCAGCTCCCATGCGCCGCATGTCACAAGCACTGATCTCCCGTGTCCCTCCGCCGGGCAGGGCCTGGCCGTGGAACACGGCGTGGACGTGCACAAGACCCACGACGTCAGCAACTACCTATCCTTCAGCCATCAGGAGAAGCTGAAGGACATCGCCAAGCAGACGAGGGAGGCTACCAGAGGTGGGAACGCTGCAGCGCAGTGCTGCAGATTCTGTGTCGTGACCATGTGAATTCGTATGACGTCGCCGTCCACTCGAGCCAAATCATCTCATGTGTTTCATGAGATGATTTGATTAGTCAGCATAACTTCTACACTCCCGGTGCGACATTGTCAAACTGGCAAATACATGGCAGCTATATCTTTCGTAAAAATCAAACGACAACAGGTCAGGTGACCATTGCATCCTTCTTTTCCAAACATACAATTAAACAGAGCATAGTTAGGTTGCGGATTCACATCGGTTAAAAACGGATCACAAACGAGGAAAACAAAGTGACGCAACACACAAACGAGGTATACGCTTTTGATATGCTTAAGTTAAATTTGTGTTCCGAAAATTGGATTTCGCTCTGGGTGAAAATTGTATTCGCTCCGAAATTGTAAACGTTCCGAAAATATTTGAAGTTGCACGTACTTACGCAGACTTACATAAGCATGCTCTGAGGAAGGCGACTTTAGACAAAGGCAAATTGTTTTGGACATTCAAACTTCAGCTGATGCATGGCTCTGCGTTTAAATTCCATCAGATCGAAGAAGCAGTACGCAAACTTGGTGCGGTCTCGAAGAGTTAAGCGGAGTGCCAGCGACGTGCTCCCGTATCAGATCAGGAACGCTTGGCTTCGTATGAACTCAGGAAAGGATTCCACGGCATGGCGAATCTAACGGGCGGGGACCGGGGTACCCCACCTTTCTCTGATTCTCCTCCTTAAGTTTCGAATTTCGTTGCCAGATAATGTATTAGTTCATGACCTAAGCGTAATGTTTAAGTTATTCAGTGACTATTTTCGTATATTTTAACTGAACCCGATGGAACATTACACATTGAGCTGGGACGCATCCCCGGGGCGAAGACGAACATGGTGTCGTTAGTGAGCTCAATACCGCAACCTAGACCGCGGCGGGCTCGGAGTCGTGTCGTGCCGCTGGAGCTGGAGCCCAGCCGACTTTGGCACTCGCCGAACTAGCATCTCATACAGTTCCCCCCGGGCTTGTCAACAACAGGCTGGCATGAGCTGTCTCGGCGCCACGATTGTAGAATAACGCCCCTGGGATGGAGCATAAATTAGGCTCCGCGAATGAATACAGGGCCGATGTTTTCACTGACATATCACTGACGGTCGCTCTCGTCGCTATCATTTCAGTTTCTATTTAAATGTGTTTGTTAAGTTAGGTTGTTATGGGATTGTCTGAATGGCCCGGATGATAACATGAGAGACAGATGCATTTGTATGCCGCTGCGAGGCCCCAGTAAGCTCAGATAAACCTCAGTGTGCTGGCTAAAATTTTGTTGAATGATATGACGGAGGGGTGATGTAAGACTCATCGAACGTGTGAAAAGCTATAGTTTCACATCAAGACGTGTTTGTAGGAAGGCTCTCAGTCTTGGGCCTCCCTCAAGTTTGGACATCGACTCAGGGTCAAGAATGCCAAGGCCAAAAACGTGTGCGCAGTGCATAAAAACTTTGGCTATGAGTGTATTGTCTAATAACGCTGCTACAAGTTTAACGAGTGTTACAAACTAACACCACATGACGGTGTGAGAGTAATGCCACCGCTCAGGGCTTTGCGTAACTAAGCCGCAGTACTGTACGTTGTGCCGCGTGTGAAATATTTCCTGTCACTCTCTGTGGCTGTTTGTCTGGAGTGCCGCTGACTGACATAACACCTGCACAGTGCGTGCTCAAATTAGTGCAGTGAACACACTTACAACGAGAGCCAAGTTAAAACACTTTCCCCGGCACCATTATTTGTGATACGATATTTATGCTTATGATCATACTGCGTCTTTCAAATCTCATCACGCAAAAACTGAGCGATTATCACCCCGGAGTATATGTTTATCATAGTCAAAACACCCTCGACACATACACCTTCGACACATACACCTTCGACACATACACCTTCGACACATACACCTTCGACACATACACCTTCGACACATACACCTTCGACACATACACCTTCGACACATTCGACACATACACCTTCGACACATATGTGGCGGGGTTTGCTGTGTTTTGACAAAAGTGTGTTGCAGTGTACGTGTTTGTGGGAGAGCACATTCTCCTGGTCGACTTCGTGCAGCACATGTACGCCTCGGGCTACCTGGAGACGGGAAAGTACGCTATCATCGCGGTCGATGAGGAGATCTACGATCCAGACGTCAACCCAGAGTGGTACATGGTCAAAGGTAGGTCCGGAGTTGTACACGGTCAGATATAGGTCCACGTGTGATATATGGTTAGGGGTAGGTCTCGGAGTGGTACACGAGCAGGTGTAGGTCTTGGTGGAGTACATGGTCAAAGGTAGACTTCGGAATGGTACACGATCTGATGCAGGTCCTGGTGTAATGCATGGTCCAGAGGAAGGTATCGAAACACTGCACACTCAAATGTGCACGAGGTCCTTGCGTGGTACCTAAACGAACATAATATCGAAACATCAAGTGGTCAGATACTATGTCTCCCATAGTGGCACATGATCAAGTGTATGTCCTGGAGCTGTGCGTGGTCAACGAGAGATTTCGAGGTGGTGGTGGTCGGGGGTAATGTATAGGAATGTATAGTAAGATCGGGGTAATGTATACTAAGCTGTGGATCCCAGAGTGATATGTGTTGAGGCACGTGCATTCGAGGTAGCAAAAAGTCAAATGTAAGTTTTGGATTGGTAAGCAGGGGACAAAACACAGGTTTTTGAGTGATGTACGGTGAAATGTGGGTCCCGGACTGATGCATGGTCAAAACGTGTTCTAGTGTAGTTCCAAGTGCATTTAATCAAGTGATCCCAAAACGCTCACTGGCCTTGTATGTGTGATAGGTTCGTGTGAATAAACAAAGGTCACGTGGAGTGGAAAGAGGTAACTAGGAGGTAAGCATGTCAGTGAAGTGGTCCGTGATTGATAAGTGCTAATGAGTTGTGAGTACATTGGTGTTTACCTAGTTTTTACGGAGCATTCACGATGCTGGTACAATGTTAGGACATCCATGATTTAGTTCTCCCATAGTAAATGTATGCAGCTCCGAGGTTTGTTTTCTGAGGGCCTTAAATAACAACTAAGTGCAGTTAAAAGGCTTGGTTTGTTTTGTGAGGGCATACCCCACATTTTATAGAAAGGGTCGAGGCATGAAAAGAATGAAATTGACAAGAATGAAGTTAAAACCCATGATACACCAGCAGATTGCTGGAACTCGCAATGTTTATGAAATGACACTAGCAATGCTCACTCATAGCACACGCAAGCATTTGATTAAGGCTTATGCCGTGCGTGCAGTCATATTCCCGCTGGTGACGTGTTGTCATACCGCTCATCCTCCAGCTACCCTATCCCACCTGTCATACCGCTTACCCTCCAGCTGCTCCATCCCACCTGTCATACCGCTCACCCTCCAGCTGCTCCATCCCACCTGATATACCGCTCACTCTCCAGCTGCTCCATCCCACCTGACATACCGCTCACTTTCCAGCTGCTCCATCTTACCTCCAATACCACTCACCTTCCAGCTGCTCCATCCTACCTCCAATACCGCTCACCTTCCAGCTGCTCCATCCCACCTCCAATACAGCTCACCTTCCAGCAGCTCCATCCCACCTCCAATACCGCTCACTTTCCAGCTGCGCCATCCCACCTCCCACACCGCTCACCTTCCAGCTGCTCCATCCCACCTCCAATACCGCTCACCTTCCAGCTGCTCCATCCCACCTCCAATACCGCTCACCTTCCAGCTGCTCCATCCTACCTCCAATACCGCTCACCCTCCAGCTGGAAGGTTCTGTTCAAGGCCACTGCAGGTTTGTTTAATGTCGCCGCTTTTCCACGGGTTTTTGGCTACTGCTCAAGACGATCCAGGTCCAACGTGGAAAAAAGGGATAGAAGGCGAAGCTGACCCCATGCTACTTCAAGCACTCCACTTATTGAGGGCCTGAAGTGGCAAGCAGCACAGAAATGCTCACGTAATTTAAGCTTGCTAGGCGCTTGATTTATGCAGACAGCAGGCGTCAGCAGTGTTGTGGAAGAAAACGGTACATACATTAAGTAACACCTAGCACAAAGGCACATGCTGCACGGAGAACATGTCTGTGGTGCATATCATTACCTGCTTGTATACTGGCGAGTAGATATGTTACCTTGGTGTTTTTTTCTGATGGGTGTCTTTCCATGAGGCAGGTAATAAAGCTGCTGTCATAATGAATAATTTGTTATGAGTTTTGAGCTAAGATTGCTTCCGTCATGACACAGCTCTCGGGCTGGTTCACATGTTATGATCTTTGGACTGTGCAAACACAGCTGTTTGTGCCACCTAGCCATCAGTCCATATCAGCCAATGCTGTTGACTACAAGGATATCAAAGCAGTATTTCAACCCTGGTATGTCAAGAAAGCAAATAGCGACATTCTGACTTGCCAGTCCATGCCAAGTCTGAATGACAATGCTGCCCTCAGGTATTGATGCTGCCTTGGACGGAGAAACGCAACAATAACTGCATAATTTTTGCCTCTAACTGTGCAGCATTCAGGAGTCATTTCTGTAGCTTAGCTCATTGCTGCAAGCTGCTCATAAATGCATTAGTGTGGGAGTAGGTGATATGCTTCCTGGGCTGGGCAAAGCACATGACATGATGCTGTGTGGCCCATCTGATCAGAGTGTGGTTAGTGTGTGAGTGCCATTGGCCAATACAAGAAAATGCTGATTTCTTGCTAGCCCTTGCATGGCAGCAAATATTCAGGTGTCACAGGCACCAGGTGTGTCTTAAATGTCATCCTAAATGATGCCAGTCAGAACAGCAAGCCATGATCTACATTGCAGGATCGAAAGCAGTGCCCTTGCTTGCACTTTTTGGAGCTATTGTCATGCATGGATGGCCTGATGCAAGTTACTTTAACGTCATCTCTGCCATTGCCATTGAGTGGCTTATAGTTTTATTTACCAGTTCACTTCCTTGTCATTCTTGATGGCATACCTGTGACCAAAGAAACTGATTCTAGCAGAAATATATGCTGCAATATCCGTGAGTCAGTTTTTCCTGTTTTGGGCAAATTTCTGTGATCGTGCTCCTTTCGATGCACAGTATTGACACGTCTTAAGTCCACTAGGAACATTTTCATATAACACTAGCTATGGGGAAGATTTGGCAGCGCCGACTATACAAATTTTGTGTTTTAAATGTTATGGCTTGTGCTGTGGCTATTAAGCCTAGGAGTCCCGCACAGATCGTTTTTCCAACGGAGTCCATCTTCCTCCTCGCTCTCAAAGCCGTCTCGCGCCCACTACGGCCCTTGACATTCGCCATCCATACGCAGAGTGCCGCCATTTTTTTTTTTGTTCAGGTCGCCTCAAAAGCGCAGTTTTCGCCCATAATCCGCTCCTTGATTCGAACTAAGCGGGATCGAACTACCGACCATTAATTCGACGTATAGCATGTATCGCCCATGTAAACGCACCTCGGCGAGAGGTTTAACATCGCATGATCCGTTCCGATCTTGATTGAAATTACCCTCGACTGCCCATGTAAACAGGGTATATTATAGACGGGAAGGCGAGACCGATCGGCGGTTCGATCCCACCGTTCTTTAGGTGTGGTTTGGCGTGAGATTTTGCATGGCGGAGAGGCCGTTAGATCGATATAATCGCCTCGTTATAATAGAACGGAGGTCGGGGTTGGCAGGGTGAATGTGAGATTATCACACGCGCCATCACATGTGCCGTCACACGCGCATGTGAAGTCATCACGTGCGCCACAGACTCGAATGTAATGTCACCACACGCGAATGTGAGGTTATCACGCGGGAATTTGGGGTCATCACGCGGGAATTTCGGGCCATCACGAGCGCCCTGGCGTAGACGCCGATCGAATGAGAATGATATCGAATCGCTTTTGTCAATTGCTTTAGCTAGGTCATATTGCAAGTCTGCGGATAGGTGACACAAGAGTACATAATCTCGAAGTGAGTCCTCACTTCGAAATGAAAATGTTTGCACTGCGAAACTCAAGCAACCAAGGATAACGACCGCGGCGCGTTGGTACCTCAAGGAGAGGGATGACCCCCTTCCTCGTGGACAGGCCCGCTGCCTTGGCTTGTCGGTCGCTCGTGGAGCAGTGATGGCGCCGTCGATGAGATGTGCCGATGGCTTAACTATGCCGCGGAATTACGGCGGATAAGTTTGCTGCGAGAAACTTCAGGGTGGTGGGCGTCATTGTGCTCGTGATTAAGCCCAAGAGAGTGAGTTGTGATGTGATTAGGTTGGGTTGGCTTCTGTCATTGAAGCTGGTTGAGAGGTGAGGGAATTATGGGCTAGCTGTCACGTTATACGTCGTCGCCATTAGGGCTTCACGACGTGCTCAACTGCTGAGGCTATGTGGTGTTGCCTGCCTCTCCCCCTGGCAGAAAGGGCGGGCACGGCGGTGAATCGAACCTTGTAGCTCTGGTTTCCCAGACACACAGCTTTTAACCACACTCTCGGCACCACTCGCCACATCATGCATCGCATGGCGGAAGACTATTGATATGGGCGTAATGTATGACCGGGGGGCGTTAGATACAGTGTTTGCTGCTTTAAGGGCTCAATCGATTGATATGTATCAAGTAACCTGCCAACGTAGGGTGTTAGATGTCTAGCTTTATCGTCGTGTGGGTGTAAGGTTACGCTCAAAAGCTGGGGAGAGTGAAATAAACGCAAGCCAAGAAACTGTAGGTTTTGTTTATGAAAACCTCTTCGTAGGTAAAAGGAATGTTACACATATAAAGGTACTGAAGCAAGCATCATACATGAAGAAATAACCTCACTGATAAATATTGAGTTGCTTTTAAGCGCAAGCGATTGCGCTTTGCATGCTCGGTCATGGTGCTATTCTGAAGTCATTGCATATCCAGTCTTACTTCCGTCATAACCCGTACCACTGCCCAAATTCCTGTATTAAGTACCACAAAACGTAATTCGTGCTCGAAACTTTTCTTCCACACATTACATTGGTTGAAGGCCAACTCACGTCATGTCATGCCATGAATCGTGCTGACATAGCCAAGCAATAATAATTCGATGATCATATTTTTGTTGACCTCGGTCACTACATGGCCAAAGGTGAGACGGTATTCGTGTGACGCTGAAATAGTCTGCACGAAAAAGTCTGGCAGGTTTGCGGGCGTGAGGCTCAAACAGGGTCTTAAACCGGTCATATCTGTGAGCTGCATTGT